CAGATTCTCTAATAGTTAGTGGGGTCAAATCGACATTTATTTGTGAGCAAAGTGACAAGAAAATTAAAGCAGCAGAATGAAACATTTTTCTTGAACAACTGAATTTCCAACAGTAAATGTGGTTTTCATTCAGTCAAGTCCATTTCTTCCAAAATTGATTGTTAAAAGCAAACTTTTTAAGTACTCTTGTATGACAAGTCATCAAATGTACTGTGAATTTTTATACAAACATTTGTTTGAAAATCTACTAGCGTATGGGTAGCTTTACTCTACTGATGAACACAGCCAACAATACCTACTATATACTATATCAGTAAAAAAAAATTTAATAAAAAGAACAGGTTTATCTAATTCAAACAAAAGTCAGGACAATTTCCATGCACAAGTTCATATCAGAGTAGCTGTAAAGTTAACAGTTGAGGGTTTACATGTAGATGTAATAAGCTTAGTCACATAAGGACAAACAGTATTGTAGAGGATCCATTTTTCTATCAGAAGACTACATCATCACATGGAGGGGTCATGGAATTTAAGCTGATGTTTTTCACAAAATGTTGCCATAACTTTATCCCCATACAGCTTGTTTATGAGAAATTTGGTGTCTTAAAAAAAAAAAAAAAAAAAAAAAAAAAAAAAATGAATAAGCTGGTACACTGGTGAGATTGTGGGAGTGGTACATCATGGTGACATAGGGTGTAGTTGAGATACCTCTATTTTTCAATTTACACTGGTGTGCGATCAGCAGTGGTGGTTGCATTTTGGAAAGTGATCGTAGAGATCATATACTGTATCCAGTACAGCAAGTTCTACTACAGAATTACACACAGTACAAAGTACACACCACCACTGTTCAGTTACCCCTACAGTTGTCTACCATCCCTAAAGCTTGTGTGCTGGCATCAGCTTTTGTACACCTGTACCCTTGTCTTCCATGCTGTCAGACAGCCATCAGTTACTTTACCCCCTAAGGGATTCATCATCAGTTTAGTGACATTTGATTTAAAATGCTTTTTTTCTCTTTAGTCATTAGTTGACACATTTAAGTATTTATTTTATGAAAACAAAAAAAAAAAAAAAAAAACAATAACATTTTTTCTAGTAGAGTATGAAGTTGGAAAGTGTTTGGCTGTTATTGCTGTCCGCATCCCTGTTGGGGAAATTTCTTTTCACTTCTTGTCTCAAAGACACCATCTCTTAAAAGTTGCAAAAAAAGACCCAGACAGGTTCTAACCTTTCCCAGGTATATCTAAGTTGGGGAAAAAAAAGTTGGATTTACAATTATACTGTCATTTATGCACTAATGGCATACATATACAAACAGCCAGTGACTGCAGCCATTTTATAAACATTTTAAAAACCCAACTCTTTACGCATTCAGGAAATCTGAAATTTTAGACGTGAAATTGTGGTTTCAGAACTAGAGATTTTATTTTAGAACATGGCAGAAGGAAAAATGCTGCACAGTATCCCCCAGAAACACAGACCATGTATTAACCTGTACTACACTGTCAATGCGTAATGTTTTTTTTTTTATTTTTGTTGTGGTGTTATTGTAAGCAACAACATGCTATTGAAAACGATTAAAAGATGAATGTTATCAAAATAAAGTAAGCCATGGTAATTTAAATTTGAGGTAATAGCTGGGGTACAGCATATGGAATAAATTGCAGCCTGCACAGAGTCTCCCTCTCTTACAGAAAATGTTACCTTCATATTCCCCATTGTTACACTAGTACAGTTATACCAGCAATGGGCAAACTACGGCCCGGCGGACCTTTTAATCCGGCCCGCGGAGCGTGATACTGTCAGGATGGCTGTCAGGATGTGTGTAGGCGGGGCAGCGTGACGAACGCGAGGGGAGCTAGGCTCCTCTCACAGTCCGCCCTGAAGACCGGTGTAGCATGAAAATCTGTCTCCTATGAGGATCTGTCCCCCTCGACGTATCTGCGCATGTGCCGGAGATCGCCAATCGGCTGCTATTGCCTGAAACTGGCACATGCGCAGATACGTCGAGGGGGACAGATCCTCATAGGAGACAGATTTTCATGCTACAACGGCGGAACGGCGAGGGAACACGGCGAGAGGAACGCGCGGAGCAAAAGGTAAGTGAATTGACACAGGGGGGACTTAATATGGGGGATGAATTACTATAGGGGGGATGAATTACTATAGGGGGGATGAATTACTATATGGGGGATGAATTACTATGCTTACTATGGGGGAATATTACTATACTTACTATGGATGACACATACACATCATTCATCTGCTCTTGGTCCGGCCCCCGGGTCCAATATATGAACCCATTGCGGCCCTCAAGTCAAAAAGTTTGCCCACCCCTGAGTTATACTGACAGCACTAAGTTACATTGTGTCAATGTGCTGTCATTCACTGGAATGGGGCTGGGGCAAGACCCACAGACACAGGAGCCATAACAAAATTGCGACAGAGCATGGCCAGGAATGTAGCTGGAATGCGGCCTCTATAAACATGGGCAGAGCAAGCCCAAGCAAGCCAGACTTTGGCCACGTTTTGGTGATAACAAGTTAGAGGTGGGTGGCAGACAAAAGAGGCAGGCAAGCACTTCTGTTTAACTTGTGAGCGAATAGATCATTATCAGCTCCATAGTTTCTGTGAAATCACTTCTGTTGCAAAAACTATTCCATTCTGTATAATAACTGAGCATGCCTCAACAGTCTGAAAATGTACAGCAAGATACACAATGTATACAAGCAGAAATATGCATTGTAAAAATTACACAGTACAGCTTATCTGGTCAGGAGACAAGTCTGCACATAGGAACGAACACACATACCCACCAGACATCAATTCATATTTTATCAATTCAAGACCCTACAAGTCAATTCATAAAACTGTGTGGGTTATTTCACCTACATTATTTTTTTAACTTGTGACTTTTGAATCAAAACATTCAAACAACAAGAATAAAAGCCACATACAGTGCCTTGAAAAAGTATTCATACCCCTTGAAATTTTCCACATTTTGTCATGTTACAACCAAAAACTTAAATGTATTTTATTGGGATTTTATGTGATAGAGCAATTATAGCTGCAAGTCTTTTTGGGTATGTCTCTGCCAGCTTTGCACATGAGAGTGACATTTCTGCCCATTCATCTTTCTAAATAGCTCAAGCTCTGTCAGATTGGATGGAGAGCGTCTGAACAGCAGTTTCAAGTTTTGCTACAGATTCTCAATTGGATTTAGGTCTGGACTTTGAGTGGGCCATTAGAACACATGAATATGCTTTGATCTAAACCATTCCATTGTAGCTCTGGCTGTATGTTTAGGTTTGTTGCCCTGCTGGAAGGTAAACCTCAAGTCTTTTGCAGACTAACAGGTTTTCTTCTAAAATTGTCCTGTACTTGGCTCCATCCATCTTCCTATCAACTCTGACCAGCTTCCCTGTCCCTGTTGAAGAAAAGCATCCTCACAACCTAATGCTGCCACCACGCTTCACGGTGGGGATGGTGTGTTCAGGGTGATGTGCACTTCTAGTTTTCTGCCACACATAGATTTTTGCTTTTAGGCCAAAAAGTTTCATTTTGTTCTCATCTGACCAGAGAACCTTCTTCCACATGTTTGCAGTGTCCCCCCCATGACTCCTCACAAACTGCAAACGGGACTTCTTATGGCTTTCTTTCAACAATGTCTTTCTTCTTGCCACTCTTCAATAAAGGCCAGAATTGTGAAGTGCACAACTAATATGTGTCCTGTGGACAGATACTCCCACCTGAGCTGTGGATCTCTGCAGCTCCTCCAGAGTTACCATGGGCCACTTGGCTGCTTCTCCGATTAATGCTCTCCTTATACGGCCTGTCAGTTTAGGTGGACAGCCATGTCTTGGTAGGTTTGCAGTTGTGTCATACTCTTACCATTTTTGGATGATGGATTGAACAGTGCTCCGTGAGATCTTAAAAGCTTAGGATTTTTTTCTACCCTAACCCTGCTTTAAACGTCTCCACAAACGTATCCCGGACCTGTCTGGTGTGTTCCTTGGCCTTCGTGATGCTGTTTGTTCACGAATGTTCTCTAACAAACATCTTAGGGCTTCACAGAACAGCTGTATTTATACTGAGATTAAAATATACACAAGTGGACTCTATTTATTATTTGGGTGAATTCTGAAGGCAATGGGTTCCACTAGATTTTAGTTAGGGGTATCAGAATAAAGGGGGGCTGAACACAAATGCACGCCACACTTTTCAGATATTTATATGTAAAAAAGTTTTGAAAACCATTTATCTATTTTCTTCCACTTCACAATTATGCGTCACTTTGTGTTGGTCTATCATACAAAACCCCAATAAAATACATTAACGTTTTTGGTAGTAACATGACAAAATTTTAAAAAGTATTCATATGCCTTGTCATTTTCCACAGCACTGTATATGCCTCGGTTTCTAACGAATGGATATTTTGTCCCAGTATCACCCACTCACATCGCACCTGTTAATATTAGACAGTGGCTAATTATATTATGTGATGATCTTTGAGAACTGACATACAGAAGAGTGCTAAAATTGACAATATACCATGTATATCATGAATTCTGCAAAGCCATGTGCTAAAACCTCTAGTGCAGTGGTTCTCAACCTGTGGGTCGCGACCCTTTCACAGGGGTCGCCTAAGACCATTGGAAAACACATATTTCTGATGTGTAAAGAGCAGCTACTGTGTAGAAAGCAGCTGCTGTGCTGAAAGCAGCAGTATTGGAGGAAAAAACGACACTTCATGAATTATAATTACTGGGTAAACAATTTTATGGTTGGGGGTCACCACAACATGAGGAACTGTATTAAAGGGTCACGGCATTAGGAAGCTTCAGAACCACTGCTCTAGTGACTGAGGGGAAAAAAAAAAAAAAAAAAATCAATAAACAAACCATGCATAGAAATAACAGTATTACATGTGTTAGGAATGCGGGAACTGATGCTCATGAGTTTTAAAATGCAGCTTACACTATTAAACCTTAGTTACCTTTAGCTTTTTTGCCTCCAAAACAGCCAGCATCATCTTTCTTTTTCTTTTGCTGTCCACCAATCCCACTCTGCAGTGTATTGTCTAAGTCATGGAATCTGTCTGCTCCCGGCACCTCTTTATGGACGTGATAAGAAAGGTTACGCATGATACACACACAGTTTTCCACAGACTGGAAGCAAAGGATAAAAACAACATTATATACTGAACACCTTCTCCAAGTTACTAAATGTAAAAAACAACAGGCAACACATATTAGTAGTTAAACTCTACCCATGGTTTAATTCTAAAATGCTTATGCTAACACAGCTTAGTTCACACACATTGTGCCCAAATATCCTGAAGGCCTACGAATACAGTAGAAAATACAAGTATCTATTTTTAGCATTACCAAGCCTCAGATGACTATGAACTGGAAACTACTGCAATATAACCATTAAAATGATTGCATACTATCCTGCCTGCCACAGTGATATAGGTTTGTTAATTCAGAGTGCTGAAAGCTTAGGTTCAGGATTTTTATTTAAAAGGATAAGTTCACCTTTTATACAAAAATAATAAATGCACTTTTTGCAGGTAAAAATAAATGTGCATTTATTATTTAGCCTGCAGGAGCCTGGAAAGCATTGCACCAGTGATCAGTAGATCACTGACACCATGCAGTTCTCCTGCAGTCCTGTCATATCTGCTTGCTATATGGGATGAACAAGCAAACAGGAAGCTGCAACGAACTACCATGGTGCTACATAGTGGCATGGTAGTTCATTGAAAACTACAAGCCGGCAGCCACTAAGGCTGTCGGGACTTGCAGTTTATTAATTCACGGAAGTCCGTGAATGAATGATGCGGCCATGTGGGCAGAGCTCCACACAGTCGCACTATTTTCAAATGTGACGGGGAGAAGCCTCCCCATGCTGTCAGAGGAAAGGGTGGCGGCAGGCTAAAAATGGGTGGAACATGTAACATGTTCCTAAAAGGTGAACTCCTTTAATGCATTATCTACATTAAGGTGAAAACTTTAATAGTAACTCCCCTGAGTCCAATCCAGCACTGTGCACATCTGCAGTAGCCTCCCTCACCCCTCCCTGCTGTCACAGGCTTGGCTGAAAGCAGAAAAAGCCAATAGCTCCTGCTGCTGTCAGTAAAATTCTGTGAGCATGGGGCAAACAGCCTGGCTTGGGATCATATATGCACGATCGGGTTCCTATGGTGGACACTCAGTGGAAACATGTTACATGTTCAACCCTTTAAAGCAACCATACATGGATTAAAATTCAATCGATTTGTGTACAACCAGCTTGTTGGAACATTTTCACTCGATGACAGCCACCATATAGCCAGTGGTGCTGATAAGTGTATTCTAATGGTGGGGAAGTATCCCCGCTGTCAGAATACAACAATGGGGGGGATTCTCTCATCCACATCGGTGTGTGTGTGTGGATGGAGAAATTGAGTCACAATTTTTTATTCAACCCGCTGATTGAATTTAAGAAAAAAAAAAAAAAAAAGATGACTCCTGTATGGCCAGCCTTAGCTTAATTACATGGCCCCTTAAGCCTGGGCTGTATACATATATGCTTCAACACAACGGTGAGCTGCCATATATACATGTACAGTTGGCACTGCTGTTCTGTGTTTGGATTATGCACCGTCTGCGCCACTGTCACTGTGCATTTACCGTCAACTCCCATTGGCTATTTATGATTGGCAGCCGCTGGGATGGACTTCCAATCATATGATCACTGACAGCCAATCCCAGTGTCACATGAACAGACAGCCAGCCAGCCTGAGTACAACCTCCAGCATTACAAATTTTAAAGGGCTGGCTACTGCCTGCTGGAAAGAGTTAAACAACAAAAAGGAACAATGAAAGCACTGGGCTCTTAGGTATGGTCTATCATGGCACTATAATCAAGCAGTTTATAATCTTTTCAGGTCAGTGCTTTTCCTATACATGCTCCATTTTATCACTGTCCAGAAACATAGTAGAATACTATACTCTGGATAATCCAGACCCATGCTGGCAATATTTCGGCTCTGGAATTTGTGAGAAACAAAAGACTATTGATGTTGTATGGCTTGATGTGAACTTATGTGGGCCATTCAGCACGATAAATCCAAGCATTTTACTACAATACCAAAGTTCGTGGTGTTCTAAGAACATCCCATGGTTTACCCAAGTCTACAATAATGATTTTTCACAAATCTCACCTGTTTCTAAGTCTGCACTCTTTATTAAACAGGGCACACCCTGTGTTTCTGAAATCTTATCTCAGCAGTTGCTAAGCAGCGATGAAGAGTGATAGTAATGTATTTTCTGCCTAGCCTCCAATGTCTAATCTACAAAGCCTTGCATTATGTTTAACATTGTAACGATATTGAAAAGCAAGCATTAAAATAAATAATAAACACATGAAAAAAAAACCTTTAGGCAAAAGAAACATTTAAATAGCGCCGTTTCCAGCAGCATATGCTCACCTTTCCTTCACTCCTACACAACCACATTCAGCCACAGGGAACAAAAAAAAAAAATACCCAGTACGGATAAGAATATGGTTTACTTAATTTGACAGCGCTGGCTCCATTACGAAGGACCAGCATTGTCACATGGGGAGATTCCTGTGTAAGCTACAATTTGTACAACTCATTGCTTACACAGGGAGACTTCCCCCCTGCTCTCGGCACCTGAATGGATTGGTGGTGAAGCAAAGAAAAAGGCAAGGAAAGGAATTAATAATAAAAGTAAAAATACACCATTAATTTCCCTTTCAAACCCTCCCATGTACCATACCATCAATACTATGTGAAATAGCTCACCTTGTTGTCTGTATCCTTTTTACTAACAGCAGATTGTAGCGCATGTAGTAAAGCGTCCACCAGCCCATCACACTCCCGCAGCCTCCTACGAGCTTCTGCGCCATCTGAACTTACATTCCTAGTAAACAAGGGAGAAATGGTAAAGTTAGTGCTCATACTCTCCTTGTTATATATTTAATTAGTATAAAGCATATTGTATTGATTTATTACAAGTACTTACATAGTGCTGTCAATTAAGTCCTGGATCACACTGAAGCGAATTGTCATGTGATTTGACAGTTATCGCATGGCAAATAACATGCAATGAACGGCAACAAAACCGTTGTCATTGGTGTAACTCACACGAAGAAATAGTAATTCCTGCACTATTTTTAACAATTTGGGATGCATCTTGCATAGACATCTGTGCATGAAGTCACACAGATGTCTATCAAGTTGCACCCCAAGTCACACTGCCTTCAGACTCTGAAATTGTACGATTTCAAGTGAAGTCGCATGATTTCAGCGTGTCGATCCAGCGTGAACCAGGGCTAACAGCACTTTACATATTGTACATTTTCATCAGTTCCTGCCCTTAAGGAGCTTACAATCTAAAGTCCCTATCTCACATTCATACATACACATACTAGGGCCAATTCAGACAGGATCCAATTAACCTACCAAGCATGTCTTTAGAGTATGGGAGGAAATTGGAGTACCCGGAGGAAACCCACACAGGCACAGGGAGAACATACAAACTCCAGGCGGTAGTGTTGTGGTTGAGATGTAAAGCCTTATTTTCTCCACAGCAATGAAAAGGCCAAACATCATTAAGCAAGTAACTGGATGCTTTTTTTTTTTTCCAGAACATCAGTTTAGAACTAGGTTTGCCCTTTCTTCCGTTGTGCCAAAAAACAGGCCTGAAAACTCGAGTAACAATGAACTGCCTCCTTTTGCGCCAAGCAGAGAATGAACATCCTAATTAGTTACACACAGCTACCAACATTCAGGCATTTCAGATTCCTTTACAAATGGTGTTATTGAAGAAATTGTTAATAAATGCCTATTCGTTAAACTTAAAGTTTATAAATGTGTAAAAATAAATGAAACACATAAAAAAGTACACTAGGATCAACAGTTTAAACTTACACTGGGAGGTACAAGCACAATACCAACCATTGTGAAGATTTAGAAGACAATTAGGCAGTCTAATATCAAACCATAGCAGACATCCAATGTCCACCTTGACTGTTGCCTATGCTTGAATAGGAGAGAAAAAAAAAAAAAAGGCATACAGAACCTAACAGATAAATATACATTACACAAGATTTTTTATTAAAAGCCATAACTCACCTTTGGCAAACTTGTAATTTATTTCAGGTACTGATATAGCCCTATCAACATACGCAGCGCTTTACATATATACTGTACATTCACATCAGTCCCTAACCCTCAAGGGGCGTACAATCTAAGGTCCTTAACTCACATTCATACACATACTAGGGCCAATTTAGACAGGATCCAATTAACCTACCAGCATGTCTTTGGAGTGTGGGAGGAAACCGGAGTACTCGGAGGAAACCCACGCAGGCACAGGGAGAACATGCAAACTCCAGGCAGGATCTAGCACCAGAGAACTAAGCTGCAATAGTTATTTTCACTGTGTTCATTATTTTATCTCAGGATATTTTCAATATCAGTATGCTCAATTTACATACATAAATATTGCATGAAATAGTTCTCAATGCAAGGCTTAATTTTCATCATGAATCAGTAATACTTCTCATGAAAAATGTTTAACTCCAGCCAGTGCAAAGAATCTCACAATTAACATCGACCATGTTAATTGTGAGATTATGTTACCAGTCCTTAGATGTGGTGGTTGCAGGCTTTACCTGATGACCCAGGCAGTAACAATCTTCTTGTCCTAAGATGACATCTCTCACTGCTACTTTATCTATGGAGGAGCAACATTATCTGCTAAAAACAAGAAGTGGTTTGGGATTACAGAACACCTCCATAACCCAGGAAGGAAGGGTTCTGTAGTCCTTAGAAGTGATCTGAGACATCCTGGTAACACTGCTTGGAATTTCAGTGCTATACAGGTAGAGGAAGTTGCAAACTCACTGGATTTCTGGTAGATCTACAGGTATGTTTTCATACTTGAAGCATTTTTAAAAAGACAAAACAATGGAAAATATGCATGCATTAGGGAGATGTACTGAATTTTTTTTTTCACACTATTTTTTTTTTTTTTTAAAGGAGCAAAACTGTAAAAGTTACCTCCGCACTACCTGTTTTAACCCCTAAAACCTCTGCACCGCAACAGTGTGCACTACATGCAGTTATGGCACAGCCCCATTCAGCTGATGGTGCCCACTGAGCACAACAGTGGGGATATATTTTGCCACATTGCAATGCAAACATGCTGGCCACGGCATATGTACACCACCCTCCCAACCAGTTGTGGGGGGGTATAAACACAAATCAAACATGTGTCTTTCCCCCCCCCAAACTACAACATAAATGAGGCCTTACATACAGTAACAGTAAGATGAGCTTAGGCGTGTGTGGACACAAGTCAAAGCCAACAACTAATCAATCATCGGCAGCAGAGGTACTCCTTACCCTGTAGCCAAACGTATGCAAGGGGTGTGTATGTGTGCGGCTGTAGGGCATGCCTCCACTGCCTATGACTGGCTGTTGGCTTTGACAGTTTCCTGGTGGTATAAGTCAGGTAGGTGGTTTGAACTTGCATCTGAACACGCCTGAGCTCCTGAATTCACAAAAGTCATTACTTGTATGCGTGAGAGCAGCTTGAAGCCCGACATGTGGGGAGCACATGTCCAGGCCAAAAGACAGAAGGGTGTGTTGAGTTAGGCAAGTAGCAGTTTGTATGTGAGCAGACAACATTTGCAGCCTGGTGACTGTACATCATCCGTTTGGTAGGGAGGCCGAGAGAGAAACAGCCCTGTCTCAAGGAGGCATAGACAAAAGGTGTGCGACACAAAAAACAACAACACATTCATTTCCTCGGAAAACTCTCTATTTGAAACTATATTTCCTAACATAAAATACTGGTAGAATACATGGTATTGAAGATCACGCATGAGTTATGCTTTACTAAACTAAACCTTAGCAGCTTAACATTTATACCTTAGCAGAGCGATTTTCAGGCGTTTTTCTATTTCAGAGTTTTTAGAAGTGTATTACAAGCATTTTACAGCATTTTTTTTAGCCAACAGAAAGCACTAGGGGAAGGAGAGGTGGAGAGCTGCCGTTTGAGCAGAAAACACACGACTAAATGCTAATAAAATGCCCATGCCAGGTTTTCAGGCGTTTCCACTGAAGTGTACGGGGCCCCATCTGCCTTCAATCTGCCAAAAGGAAGCTCATGCTACAGGCAACAATATTCAGATGTGAACAGGGGCCATTGAAATTAATGGAATTTGCCTTGTTGAGCATTTTAGAGCTTCAAGCTGAAAATCACTCAGGTGTGAACGGGGCCTAATTAAAATCAGTAGGAGAAACGTTTGACCTAATACAGTGATAGCCTACTAATACAGATATAAAACCTGTGCCAAACAACTAAGCGAGATAGATTTCTATGCAGCGCTCAGATAGTTGCCTTTTCAATGTCTTTAATGCACAATCCCTTGCATATCGTCCCATTGATAGATGAAGCATTCAGCCACTATGCAGGGTCTTAAATTACACCATATACACGGCTTGCAAAGCATTAGGCTGTATGTAACTAGGTTACATCTCCTCTCTTAGAAACACTGCATTATTTATACATGCAAGAAGTTCAACATACACAACAGCAAATTAAAGACAGCGGCGGCTTTCTCCAGATGAGGAATGAAACATTCAGAAACAAGGCCCTGTTCTCCGAATTCTAATTCGCCACAGATCACAGATGTCATTTGATCTTAAAGTCACATTGTCTTTGCGGACATATAAAAACTCAACTGTGGACTCATAGTCCTGCACTTAAAAAAAAAAAAAAAATCCAGCGTTAATCCCCGCTATTCCTGCATAAATGTGATAATACCGTAGAAACAGTGAAGTGGCGAGTGAGTGACCAGATATGATTATTGCACCACATGCCTTAAAATTGCAAATATTCAATAGAGAAGATGGGACTTTCAGGGTGCATAGACATGAATAGACAGTGATAATACTGTAGTGGTCACCTTGAGGATCAAAAAAGTATTTTTTTTTTCAACCGGTTACAGTGGTAAACCCCAAAGCAGTAATTTAATACATTGCATCTTACCAGTCTCTAAATGTGGAAGCTGCTTTAATTTTCATTTCCCCTTTTTACCTGGTGATCCGTCCAGTAAACATACTTCTTGTGTCAAGCTGACCGCACACTGATCCACATTTTGATCAGTGCGTGGGCTCCCCCTGATCATCGTTCAATTGACTCATCAAAGAGACAGTTTCTATTGGCAGTAGCCACTGATCAGGTGTTGCTGTCAGAATACAATGTCCCAACTTGGGGATTATTCCATCCACCTCTTTTGTGCATGGAAGCATCTGATTTTTTTCCTTTTTAACCCACTTACTGAACACCAAAAAACTAAGGCCAGCTTTAGGGTGTGTCCACTAAGGATGGAGGAGCAATAGTAACACCTATAGACAGCAGCACTTTTATTTTGGGGAGAGGGTAATGTTAGATGTAGTATAAGATTTAGATGGACACGACTAAAGCTGGCCACACACCTACTCAATGTTGAACTGTTCAGCAGAAACCGGAAAACTTATGTGGCCATCCTAAGGTCCCTTTCACACGGGCGTTCCGTATATCTGTTTTTCATTTGTCCATTTATGGATGAAAACCGGACACCCATGTATTTCTATGGACTAGCGGATGTAAACGGATGATCTGTTTACATCCGTTAATGTCCACATCCGTTAACATCCATTTTTTTGAACAGAAGAAAAAACCTGATTTTTCTTCCATTAAAAAAAAAAAAAAAAAAAAAAAAAAAAAAACGGAATGGACGAAGAACGGATTTAGACAGATGAAAAACTGATGTGAACAGATGAAAAACTGATGTGAATTGATCCGTTTTTTCATGAAAAAAAAAATGACTGAACTGATGAAAAAACAGAACGCCCGTGTGAAAGGGG